CACACACACACACACACACACACACACACACACACACACACACACACACACACACACAAAAACGTGTAACTATCTTTATAAATCATATACAACACCAATGAAATGGCTCATGTTAGTCTAAATTCTACTTCGAGTTGATCGTGCCTCTCACACAGTATGAAAAAGATAATTAAGGCTAAATTTACCAGGAAGTTGAGGTTCTTGAACTTACCCACTGGTTGTCATGGGGACTAGGCCAGGCTTGGGGCTGCTGTCTGTATTCCTCACTGTGAGCGCCACAGTGCCACTCATAAGCATGCTGACCTGACCAACTATTCTCTATAGAGAAACACAAAAGAGATACATGTAGAAATAATCCACACTCAGACACACTGTGGCATCTCTCTTATCTTCCCCCCGACCATCATTACCATCATGACACTAACCTATAATTCTGCTGCCTTGGCGGGAGTGTATGTGTTGCCCCATTGAGGTCAGAGGTGATGCAGGCGTGTGTGCAGGCTGGACCTCCAGTGAATGCTCCTGCAGGTACTCCTCGATGACTTCCAGGTCAACCTCAGGGCAGGAGGAAGGAGCCACTCCACTCCAGGCTCCCCTGCCTCCACTTAGCTTGATCTCGGTTGCATAAGCCATCTGACACACACACGGCAGGACATAATGAACATTTGCATTTGTTGTATCTATTGTCAGTGATAGCCTGAGGCGTTACTACATAACACCCATTTTGTTTTGTTTTCTTTCTTTCTTCTCATGAAGCCCATTGATGTTCTGTTGTGCCACTGTTGTGCTGTGATGCACACAGTGAATGATTTTGCTATCTGAAGATCACTGACGGACACATTCATCAATTTTGAATGAGCCTCGTTCTGTTTAGAGCTCTAAAAAAGGAGCACAGCTCATTGTTATAATAGGATTAGTTTAAATAGCACACATTTGCAAAACTTAATCTCGCACCAATGAAATGAATTTGATCCTAGCTCTGTGCTGAAGGGTTTGTGTTTTGGATAAGAGCCGAGGAACAACACTGTAAGCATGTGTATTTTAGTTTGACTGGCAAATTTATGCAAGTGTTTGTGTTTTCACGGCCACAGATAAGATGCAGGTAACCGTACCATATGGCTTAGCTTTTCATAGCCCATTTTCCAGTAGCCTTTTACCCTCAGTCTATACATAGATGACATGGTAATATTTAAGACCACATTGTCACTCAGATCCAGTTATAAATATATAAATATGCCTTTCCTTCCTTCACACAATGCCCAACAAAAAAAGTATCAAAAAAATCTGATCAAACTCACCGTCTCCATTTCTGTCAGCATACCAAAAGGATGATCTGGAAAGAGAAGACGACCTCATCAGTTGAGCCAGTGGTCAAAACTTTGTCAAACATGAACTGAGAAGTGAAAGAAGCCGTCACACATAAACTCAACAGCACTTCTCTAACTTATCAGACACCATCATATGAACAGAAACGACAAAAAAAGCTGACTTGGCGAATAAGCACAGCAAAGATCGACGTACCCGTCGAAGGCGCACTCCTGCGTGTGGTGCAGTAAAGTAATATCCTCAGGCATTAAAAGGCGGAGATGTCAGAATGTGAATGCTCACCTGTGTGATGTTCCACCTGGATGTCACCTCTCTTATACTCTATCCACACATGCCCTCCTCCCCCTCTCATTGGCCAGTGAGGGCTGTCAAAAGGGGGGAGTGGTTTATTTTGCCTATCTATTGTCTCTTCATACAATGTAATTTTTACGTTAGTATTATCCAAAGTGCTACTGTACAGTCACTGGTTTTATAATTGTTTTCAGATGTGTTTTTGGAGATTGTCAGTGTTTCACATTTTAAGGGAGTCAAAGCCTGCGGTGTGCCTGTGGTTTCTTATCATTTCATTTGGCACAGACGAGGTGCCATGGAGGACAATAATGTGGCCATATTATTTTGATTTTATATTTCTGTTGAGGTCAAACATGAAACTCATATGAGTAGGTTAAAAAATATGATCTGATATTTATATATATGATAAATATGATGAGTGATGGGTATTTACACATTATATTTGTTGCAGAAAAACAGATTCTCTAGAGCACAGTAACATGTAGATGTAAGTACATCTAAGGATATTTAGACATTTGTACTGTGCCCTAATTTCAGAACTATGACTCACATTAAAACTTATTTGCAGACGTTTTGTATTTACAGCATTCGTTATGTTAAAACTGGGCATTTGCATAAAATCAAGCGAGAGAAGAGTGAAGGCATGCTCTCTATGCAAGGTCCGTCTCCAGGACTACTTAAAAAAAATCTAATCCTAACTAGGAAAAATAATCCTCGGGAATATCATACTTCCAATGCCTAAATGCCAGGATTTAATTATCAATGCTTGGAGTTAAAAAGAGTAAAAAATTCTTAAAACACTTAAAAGACTTTACACATCCTCAGGACAATGCAGTTAAGGTAAAATGTGCTGTAAAAGTAAAATGTTACAACTCATCTGTGTCACAGATAATCCGCTGGTTTCACTTAACCACAAAGTTGTAACTGTAATCTGAAATTATTTGTCATCACAGTGATAATGAATGCTCCTACACAATGACATTGTTCTTCATAAACCATTGCAGGGAAGCAAACAGCGGCAGGCATTACATCACCCCGCAGGTTTAGACAACAGCGTCATTCATAGGTGGCTTTTGATGTGCGCTGCATTGTGGCTGCTTCCTTTTTCGTGCTGTTTTTGTTGTGTGTGTGCTTTTTTTAAATTTCAGGCGTAGATTCCTGGACACAACGTGTGTTGTAGCGCAACATGTGCTTTCTTTCGCACGATGTATATAGGAGAGGGATTTCCCCAAAGCTTTTTTTTGATCTGTGACAACAAACCTGTCAACCTCTTAGAGTCTGCTGCGTGCACTGTCAGGTTCACTACAACAGTCTCAGTGGTCAAACGAACCAAGTTAAGAGTAGATAATATTAAAGCAGATAGTGCCTTTATTCCAATGCTATTTTGTGTGTGTGTCTGTGTGTTTAACCTGTGTTCATTTGAGGTCCCGCAAACAGTCCAGTAGGACACGAAACTCTTTTTCTAGTGGCGAGTAAACAGGAGTGTCAGCGATTCTTTATGTTAACCAAATGTTAAACTGATGAACTTTTTACAGTGTAGTTCTGCAAGGCATGCTGGGACATGATGAGCATCTACATCCAAAAAAAGCACGAAGCAAAGCAGCAAACTGTGTTATCAAAGGCCACTGACTCATGATAAGCACTGCTTGGATGAATGATATATGGTGCATATGAAGCCGTAGAAGCAGTGGGTATCACAGCACGATAAAAACACCGGGAATCAATAACTTTATAGCGTGTCATCGATCTGTGTACATGTTCAGTACACTGAAATATTACCACAGGCACATTCCCTGTAAATGATCAGGGTACACAGGGATCATGGTGATTGAGGGTCATTATGTCATAGTGAACGAGCAAACACTTGGTTGGCTTTCAGAGTCAGTAACGTCTTAACTAAAGATATCTGCAGTCAGATGTTTCTGCTGCTTAAATCCAGAGCGATGGTCCAACACCAGGGGTGTCAAACAGTCCTCGAGGGAGCTCTTTACACGCGTCCCTGCTGCAGCACACTGAATAAAATGAGGGCATTAGCCAGACTGCAGAACTTGCCTGCTTGCTGATGTGGCCATTCAGCCATTGATTCCTGTTACAGCATCTCATGAGTGAATGAACATAAACATAAACATGCAATAAAAGTACTTTTAGAAGTACATTTTTCCAAACGCTTACATTTACTTACATTTATTTAGATTTACTTGAGTATTGTTAGGGGTCGCCACCTCAGCATGCAGTCAAGTTCTATAGTTTTGCTAATGACCTGTTTATTTTATTCAGGTGTGTTGCAGCAGGGACACGTGCATGTTTTAAATTAATAGTGAATCAGTCCAGAAAAACCTGTCCAGCAAGGGGGAGCCATATCTTCTTTGAAAGATCAGCAGTGTTTCCCGTACCTAACGCACGTGATCCCAATTTTTTTTTAACTCTCAGGATGCTGACAGTATATTCCATATATTATATTAAAGTACAACCACGAGTGAGAAAGAAACGACAGAGTAGGCTGTGGTCTTTATAATGAAGAAGGATATATGAGGAATATTTGCTTACAGATCCCATGACCAGTATCATAATATCATAATTCTTTTTTTATGAACCTTCAGTCTCAGGAGGTCTCAGTTACACAAATACCATAGTAAGGATTGTTGCATGAAACTGATACCTACCTACCTACCTACCTACCTACCTACCTACCTACCTATCTATCTATCTATCTTACAAAAAAGTTTTCCATTACATGTAAGAGTTCATGTACCAATTAAAACAAACTTTCATGCAATTTCCTAAAAAGATAAAATAACCAGGTAATTGTATTTTTTATAAGGAGTTCATCTCAGGAGGGGCGCACACTGATTCAGTTTTACTCAGCTGTACTCTCATCAATCAACCAAATGATTGATGAGAGTATAACTTATACCTGTGACACTTTTATTTTTCCACGTTTCATGTGTTTGGCAGCTGCACCCTGAGATAAATGCTTAGAGTTTAAGTCAGTTAAAGTCAGAAATGCAGGTTTTCAGGCACTCAAATATTCGAGCTGAGAGGAAAACAAGCTGCCCAATTGTTGACAGATGTTGCATCATTTTTATACAAAAAATCCACCCATGTCTTCACACAAAATTTGAAATTACAGCAACAACCAAAAACAAAAAAAACAGCTTGCAGATTCGGGGGGTTGCTTTGCAACATGTGGTCAACATATGAAAGTCTATATTTCACTCAGAGACACAAACCAAGTAATTTTGATGCCAAAAGCTAAAGAAGGAAAGAAAAGGAAAAGTCAACTGTACAGATTTGAAAGTGTTCTGTTGTAGCTCTTGGCACAAAGAGCAGATAAGAGCAATCGCCAGGTCAGATTTGCTTTACCCCGTCTGCATCCATAACATTGCACAAATGTGTGTTAAAGACGTGTCAGTATCCACAGTAGTACCAAGACATTACTGCTATCTGCAAGAACAGTTGTGCAACAGTGTTGAATGAAATGTTTAAGGTTAGAAATAGTTGTAGCTGCAGTTGTAGGAATGATTCTTTGTCAAAATACCCACAAGAGCTTCACAAAAGGACTTGATAAACGTGTTCGGAAAAACCCTCAGCATTCAGTGTTACAGCTGACGGTTAGGGTTCTTAGAGGGCAGTCTGCACCTGGAGCATTGGACATTGGACCCTTGCACTCAGTAACACACACACACACACACACACACACACACACACACACACACACACACACACACACACACACTTGCACAGGTGGGTGAAATCTAAGAATTATTGCTTTACTAGAGAATGTAGGTGTTACAATTTGTGTTTTTGGACCTGAAATGTGTTACAGGAAACTGGAGTGGGAAAGCTAAATACGATGTGGCAATCCATCAATGTGCTCAAGAATTTACATCCAGAGGAGTCGTGCTTTAATCAGGGAATCGTTTCAAGAAGTGTTCCAGGCCAAACAAACTTAATTGATTACTTTTTCCTATCTCAAGAAGGCAGGTTAACCATCACTAGATTTATCTGCTGCACATAATCTTCTCCACTTTCCTAATTTCTTGGAAGTCAAAAAGATGATGATGACATTTTGCTGCTGTTGACATGCGTTTTCATATATTTCCCTGTTTCTTTCGTTGCTGTGCATTTGTAACGGTGTCCATGCGTGCGCGAGCGATTTAATCAGCTAACCGCACTACGTCTGAGTCACTTGATGTTTAACGGTCAAAGAATAGCAGGTGAATTGTAAAACTGGCTTATGAATGCATGTGTATACACACACGCACACAAACACACATTCAACCACTTAATGACCATTAGTGTGCGAGGCCTTGAAGCAAAGGGGCTGTGTGCATGTCTGTGTGCATGTCTGTGTGTGTGTGTGTCCAGGTGTAATAGGTTTACAGTTACAGCCAAACCCCCTAGATTAGTGAGCATACGCAAATCACCTTTACTCATGCAGGTTACTGGGAATTTCCCCAACGTCTACCCAAAAGTGTGTGTGTGCCAAGACATTAGTGACAGTGGGTGTTTTTTCACAGTAGCAATCTTTCAGTGAACAAACACTAAACATAAACATGTGCTGAGTATGAGAGATGCTCACGATTTATTTACTGAAATCTAGCTGCTTCACAGGCATAAACACAAAAATCGTATTGTTTGATTTAAATGGTTTCATTTGTGTCGGACTAAACGTCTACCTAATAATGATTTGTGTCATCTGTAGTTAGGGAGCAACAGTTTGTTTTTTAAGTTCTGCCTCGTGTTCACACCCATAGGCAGGGCCCTGAGTGTAGCCAGGTGATTCCAGTGAACAGTCTGGCAGGTGAGCAGGCAGGTGGACACCATGGTGTTGACATACTAACTGTGTATGAGAGACACTGGAAAGTATGCAAAACTTGAGGTTGATTCCTCTCTCTCACACACACATACACACACCCCACCCAACACCATCACCTCCTCCACCTTTCAATTCGTTTCACACACTGCTGTCTGTCGCTCTTGCGTTCTTGGTTAACACAAAGATAAAAGCGTTTCTGACAATCACTTGCGATTGTTTTGCCCAG